CATTTCTTATTATTACCAGTGTTGAAAATGGCTGTGGTGTGTTATATTTTTGTGGAAACCGACACATTTTTTTCATGATTATTTGATTAATAGAAAAGAACAGAATTTATTTGAAATAGAAATCTTTTGTAACAATATTATGTAAAAGTTTTAATTTCTTTTTAAAAAATGGCTTTTTAAACATGTTTTTTTAAATGATAATTTTGTTATTTTACTATAATTTATACTAAATGAACATTTTTAATTGAAAGCTCTTATTCTAATAGCTCTTTGGCTTGTGTTCTGTGAAGGTATGAGGCCCTTTTTCCTCCAGTGCTGTCATGGCTCATGTTTGCATGGATCAACATTGAGCAGGAAGCAATGACCACTCAGGAAAGTTCATATCGAACTGAGGTAACGCTGTCTCTTCCTCTAACGGGATTCTTTAGGGGCTTCCCTTCCGCCTCTGAGAAATAGCCTCAAAAATGTGGTTGAAGATTATTGCACTGTGTATCTTGATCTTGTCTTCTTAACCACTTCCATGGATGAATATATCTGTTCTCTATAAACTTGTGTAACACAAGAGTAGTACAGCTTTATTTCTCTTTACTGAATGTACCGTTTCCTGTTTTCTCAGCTCTCCAGCATTGATTTTGCTGAAAATATGGACATTACCAAAATCAGGCAGCTGAGACTGGATGACATTCGGAGATCTTACTTTTTTGCATCCTTTTGAACTACAGACAATTTGATTTGTCTTATGATTGCTGATAGTCAACGTCAAAAGTCAAAGTCAAAGTTTATTTATAAAGCACTTTTAAAAACAGCAAGTGTTTGACAAAGTGCTGTACACTTATATCCTATATTACTGCTACAAACAATCAATGATACATTTAGTCCTTAACTGTTTAAACAGGTGTTTTTCATAATAACTGCATTCTTCGGCTGCGGTAACATAGCGTCTATCAACAGGTAAGCTGCTCGATGAAGTATAGAGCTATAAAATAGACTTGAATATAATTATGCCTTGATCTACCCTCACAGTTTTGACCCAGCCTCGGTGTACTGCTTTCTGACCGTCTTCAACCCGTTCATCATGGGCGGCCTGTTAATGTGGAAGGTATTGGCACTTGCTCAACATGCAGTTTCAAATTGATACTCCTTTTTTTTTTTTTTTTTGTGCACAACTATGTTTAATGCATCTTTCCACTGTTTCATCCTCTTTCAGGTTTTAATTCCGTTCATAATTGTGATGTGCACATTCGAAAGCATTCAAGTGTCAACGCAGCTCTCATCGCGAAGGTACTTTGCACTGCAGAATAAATAGTAGAGCAGGAAACCAGCAGGTCTTTCTCTGTTTGTGCACATTCGCTGCAGACTGACCACTTCTTATAACTGTGCTATATTTGGAGACATTGAAACATTTACAAATTTTCAAAACTGCTTTTTGCTTCAATGAAAATCGAATTGAGATAATTTAAAGCTCCATTTCTTTCTCAAATGTTGTAAAACAGGGTTTTTTACAGGTCAATTTACATTTGTGAACAATGGAATTTTGCCCTAGTGAAAAAAAAGTATACTGTATTATATTTGAAATATATTCCCTTTTTCAATAGTACATTGCAAATATACTAACACATTTTTTTTACCATCTTTAAATATATTAAAAGTATATTAGCATCATGCTTCACAATACAACTTTTAACACACTTTAATATAATTGTACTTTAGTATATTTTCTAAAAATATACTTGAAGTAAAAATTCAGTTTATTTTTAAGTGTATTTATTTGCACTTTGTTAAAAATATATTTTAACTGTGTGCTAGAAATGATCAATGTAACAATGCATTGAAATTATACTTGCAAAATACATTATATTATAGTATACAATAGTATTTTGTACAAAGTATAGCTAAATATTATTTGTTTATTATGTGCATTTGTTATTGAAGACCGAGTGTGCAATTTGTAGTATTTGGAATAAGCCAAAGGTATTACTGAGCATATATACTTTTTACTCAAATATAATACACTTATGGTCAGCGCCGATAAACTTGTGGGCAAGTGCGCCGACATGTAGCACCGTTATGCTTCGGGAGACCCGAGTTCGAGTCCCGGCTCGTGGACTTTTTCCGATCCCGTCCCCCCTCTCTCTCTCCCACCCAATTTCCTGTCTAGCTACTGTCCTATCCTAATAAAAGGCAAAAATGCCAAAAATATATAAAAATACACTTATGCTATATTGCTTGTATGTTTTTATAACAATGTACTTATAACACAAATAAAGTACACTTTAATATCACTAATCAAGCATGTAATTAGTCCCTACACATACTTATACTAAGTATACATGAAGTTGTTCCAATTTAGCACACAAAAGTACACTAAATACACTTAAAGTTATACTTTACTACAATTTAATTACAACTAAAATATACTTAGTACAAAATGAGTTGTTTCAAAATAGCACACTTCAAGTTAACTAATTATTAACACACTTGAAGTATACTAAATTAGTCTGGCTGGAAGTATACTTTGCATATTTTTTTTTCTTCACCAGGGTGCCATTAAAAGAATAAAATGTATAGATCGTTTAGCTAGATAAGACCCTTATTCCTCATTAAAGTCCACTATATGGAGAAAAATCCTAGAAGGTTTTCCTCAAAAACCTTAATGTCTTTTCGAGTGAAGAAAGAAAAACATGGACATCTTCATGGCCACGTTGTACTACGGTAATTCGGTCCCTTGGTTTAGTTTAATCAAAATGAGGGAACAAATTAGTTCAGCATGGCCACGATTTACTAAAATAAGAGAGTCGTGGCCATGATATATTGTGCAGGGCTCCATATGTTCCTGCACAGGCAGAACAAAATATTTATTTGTATATATAAAAAGTTATAAAAAACATTATTTTGCATATGTTCACATAAAATTGGCATTTGTTTTCTAGCCTTTTCCTCGTTGTGCTTGTCATCTCAGACTTGATGGCACTGGTAAGCTTAGCATAGAGAATAAATTAAATATTTTATTATTGCATAAAATACTTATTTATTTATATTAACCATTTTATTTTTATATTTCTATTCTTTTTCACCAGCACTTCTTTTTCTTAGTAAAAGATTATGGAAGCTGGCTTGACATAGGATCTAGGTGGGTTAACTGTATTGTTTTAGCTTCCATCTTGTTAACCATTTGAAACAGAAGCTCACTTTTGGTTTGCCTCTGTCATTGCATGTGTGTAAATTCACAAATATGATCAAATATTTCTTCTGTTTTCCAGTATTAGTCACTATGTCATCGTAATGTCCATGACCATCTTCCTCATGTTGCTGAGTGTCATGACGCACATTTTAACCTCCAAGAGAATCATCATTGGACAGAAACGAAAGATGCACTTTAGGTGATGATGACCTCGCACCTGGACCTCCCTCCTAATGTTTACAAGGTGCAAAAAAGCAAAACAAATATCCACAGTAATATGACTGATGTTCAGCATTGGGTCTTCCTGTTTCTGAGAATTTCTTAACATCAATATTACTTAAGACATACACAGTATATGACTCTGCATTTTAAACTGTAAGAGGAAGACTCTGTTTGGTATAACTAATAAGAAAAGTGATCTGTTATTAATACATTTATTTAATTTATAGGTATTTTAGTTCTGAGACTTTAGGGGGGAAAACTCCTCAAGACAGGCACGGGTTAAAGGGAAAGTACTTGATTATGTACTGTATGATTTATGCCAAAGTTGAGGAATGTTACTGTACTGATATGACAGCTGATTTGAACTGGGATCTAATTCTCAGATGGTATTATGGTAAATGTGTAGTTTTATAATACTCTATTTTTAATATTTTTGTGTAAATGTGCAAAATTATTTATTTACAAATTCAATAAACCTTTATATTAAGTGTCATGCCATGTTTTAAATAAAATCCACAAAAACACTGACCTTGATCTTCGTCAGCACCAAGTTCAAATAAAATACATATGAAGTATACATTACTTTTCAAAATGTTGGGGTCAGTTAGGGTAAAATACAGATTAAATTGATTTCAATTTACTAGAAATCAATAGAAAAAGATTTCTATTTTAAATACATGCTGTTCTTTTGAACTTTATATTGATTAAAGAATCCTGAAAAAATTGTATTAAGGTTTCCCACAAATATTAAGCAGCACAACAGTTTTCAGCATTGATAATAATAAGAAATGTAGCACCAAATCAGTATATTAAAATTATTTTTTAAGTTTAAAGACACCATGTGCTGAAAATTCAGTTTGGCCAATACAGGAATAAATTACATTTGTAAAAATATTACAAATAGAAAGCAGTTATTTTAATTTTACTATATTACTATTTTTTTTTACTGTATTATAAATGCAACCTTGTTGAGCATAAAAGATGTAAAAACAAATCTTACTGACCCCAAACCTTTGAGCAGTAGTGTAGTTTAAACATAACTGCCCTTTATAGCATTAACATATCCATTACATTATATAATGTAATATTATGACATATACATAATTTTATTTACTTACATACAGTATGTTCTCTTACATAAATATTTATATTTTGTTAAAAAATTTGAAAAATCAATATCCATTAATAACTTAATACTTAAGCACCACTCCCCCACTCCCACTCCACCTCCACCTCACCCACCCACCTGCAGCTGTGACAAAGATGCAGGGGAAAACCACAAACCTCGCTTTTCAGCTGAAGTCTACACACAAGAATGGAGTGATATTAAGGCACTATTACAATACATTCAGACTATAAAGAACAGAAATGCTAGATGGCTGTGATCTTGCAGTATTTCATCATAACTGGAATCTGAAAACAACAACAGTGCGGTTGGTTGGCGATATGACTTGTATTGTTTTTGAGGTTGGCCACCTAAACTGAAAAGTCAAATGTGCAAATCATGAAACACCCAGAAGTCCGGCCTCCTCGTCGAGAGAATGTGCTAAAATAGTGGTTACTGAACGAGTTGCAGAAGCAACAAACACATTACCTTACTTCCTCATCTGATCCAGATCTTCGACTTCTGTGTTTGTTCTGAGGGTACGTATCTTGCTTCATAATCTCTCATTAAGCTGTTCATTTTGATTATGCAAAACTAATTTTAACATTTTAAATGCACTGTGTTGTAAAATATAGTTGAAATGTCTAGCTTTCAGTTGTTTTTCTGAAGGAAAAAGAACCACCATAAATGTATAGCTACATTGTGGCGTGGCACAATCAAATTAGCTAAAATTATTATTATTTTGTATATACACAAAGTATTCAAAATAAAAGTTTAAATGACTGCAATGAGGGATTACAATATATTGACATGTACATTATGTACATTATAGGCCTGTTTCTACAGAACACTGCAAAAACACAGTAATTGGTAATATTTTACAGTAAGGTCATATTAGTTAACATTAATGCATGTTAACTTACATCAACTAACAATGAGCAATACATTTGCTACAGTATTTTTTTTAAATCTTTGTCAACGTTACTTAGAAGAACAACGATTCATATAATTAATGTTAGCTGCAGGTCAATTAAATAATATTAACATAAGCTTTGGTTTGAATACTGTATTAGTATTAGTATTGTAAGTAACATTAAGATTAATGCATGCTTTTCATAAAGGCTAGAGGTTTTTTTTATCGTCAGTTCATGTTAACTTTGGAGTTAAAAAATGGGACCTTATGATAATAGTGAATAGAAAACACTCTTGTGTCCTTCCAAACCTTTATGGCTTTCTTCTTTTTGTGGAACACAACTGATCGAAAATGAAACAATTTTACAATGTACTAGTGAGTTTAACTGAACCAGAAACAATGCAGATGTCTTTTCCACGTGTTAAATGACTTACCGGTACTCACGTTTGTCTTTGACTTCCAGGATGTTTTCTCTCTAGGGACCATGACGACGAACACCACCACCACCACCACCAGCAGCAGCCTCGCAGTGACATCCACCCCTGCAGTCCACTTCACCATGCCCTACAGAATCGCCCTGATAGTAATCTACTCTGTCGTGCTTCTGGTGGGCATCACAGGCTTAGGTCTCATGATCAGCTTGTTAAAAGCCAACATTCGCTCGCTAACCACCATCGCCTTCCTGAACCTGATGGTCGCACATTTTCTGTTTCTGCTCACCGTGCCATTCAGAATCTACTATTTCGCGTTTCTAAAATGGAACCTGAGTCAGGGGATGTGTAAACTGGTCAGCGCCATGGTGCATATCCACATATACATGGTGTTTACCATATACGCCATCATTCTTACCCTTCGTTTCCTCCAATTCTACAAGAAAACGCAACGGACTGAGTTTTACAGGCGGCTGCACGCACTGGGCGCGAGCGCTTTAGTGTGGTTCCTACTTCTGCTCATCATGCTACCCCTCGTGTTCTTTCAATACGGCCAATCTTCTGAAAGCAATAATAACGTCAACACAGAAAATCAGTGCTTCAAATTTCAGAATATGTTAAATAACACATCCGTCTACATCCTGAACATGATTCTTTCCATCTTTATTATCAGTGTGTCGGGTCTTCAGACCTGCATCCAGGCGTTCATCCTGCACGTTATGATACGCAAGTACGGATCGGCCAGTCGTTCCCAGCAGGAGTTTTGGGTCCAAATAAAAAACCTCATCTTTGTACTTATCTTGCTCACCTGCCTGGTACCATACCACCTTTTTCGGCTGCATTACCTGAACAACACTATCGATCTTCATGTGATAAATGAGGTGTTTCTGGCCATCACGGGACTGACATGTTTCGACATGCTAACGTTCACAGGGAAGAACGTGTGTCAGGTGTGCTGGCCCTAAAGCTGTGGATATTCTCACATCATTGACTATTAATCAGGGTCTGCACACAGGTGTGAAAATGTAAGCTGTTCTTACAGGAAACGTGTTATAATTATAATACGGTGACAATAAAGGTAAATGAGCACCCCAGCTGACAAAAAAAAAAAAAAAGTTTTAAGAACGTTTAGCTATTGTTATGAAAACGTTATTTATAAATTTCATTAAACATTCAAAACGTCCAGTTAAACAAAAAAAACAAACAAAAAAAAAGTTTGTACTGGTTTTGCTAACATTTTGGGAACTGTTTGTTTTATTTTCGTTTGCATATGTTGCAAACATTAATTTCGAATGTTCTCTGAACGTTGTGAAACTATTAACACGTAAAAAAACCGACTGTTCAACTAAAGTGTTTCACAAGAAAACCGTGACATTACATTAAGTCTAGGCTGCGTCATAACAGGGCCTATAGGAAATTACTATGCACCTAATTGTTAACTGTGGTAGCTGTTATAAAAATAAATGGACAGAAAGACACAGAAGCTCCTTATATGCACTTAAAAAAAGTACAACTACAAACGTAGGCTACATTTAATTTTAGGCATAATAAAGGGATAGTTCACCCCAAAAATGGAAATTCTGTCATTATTTAGGCCTATCCCTCAGGTTGTTCCAAACCTATGGATTTGTCTTTCTTCTGCAAAACACAAAATAAGATATTTTGATTTTCTTTTTTTCATTATTATTATTTTTTTTTTAAATATGGGTGGCCAAACAGTTGATGGGGCCCATTGACTTCCAAAGTAAAACAAATATATTACAATGGAAGTCAATAGGGCCCAACTGTTTGGTTACCGACATTCTTCATTATCTTCCTTTGTGTTCAGGGGGTAAAAGAAATTCATACAGGCTTGGAACAACTTGAGGGAGAGTAAATGATGAGTGTTTTAATTTTTGGGTGAACTGTCCCTTTAAAATACCTCAACGATTTTTGTACAGTTATTTAGGCTTATAACTTAACCAGCTGTAACAATTTGCGAGTGATAGCCTACAGCGTCAAATGGTTTCATTTCTAGGGACGATTTAGACTTATACAGAAGTCGTGTATGAGTTTAAAAACGTGTTTTTTTGTGTGTGTTCAATGACCAACCAGACAGAAAAATAGAGATTTGGCGCCCTCTTGTGGTAAACTTGGAGAACGTCGGAGGTTGGCTAGTTAAAAAGTAAAATTATAGTTCTGTAAAACAATGATTTCGGCTTTTAGCTTTCAGCCTAATTGTTTATAAGCAGGCTTTAAATATATATATATATATATATATATATATATATATATATATATATATATTTTATGAAAAATACAAAAATCTCTGTTACATATGATATGTATTCGTATTAGGCTAAACATTAAAAGCTAAATTCTAATTCTTTTACTTCTAGGCTTCGTAGCCTACTGCATGCTCGTGTTCTTGACGTCGTGAACCCACGCACAGGCAACACGATTCATGTCTTCTGTTTTATTGGGGCTAGTTACTGTTTAACATCTCCACCCAACTTTCAGTTTGTTTAGTAAATCGATCTAATGAGAGGCTCCCCCAACACTACCAAAAGTATTATCCAATGACATGTTAAACACTTCATGTACTCGAATTTGCCAACAGCGAAACATCATATTTATAAGCATAAAAGTTTGACCCATGTTCGTTTGGGTTTTGGTGGATTAATGCAAATCGTTGTTGGACGTGGAGAAGGTAAGACCTGATAGTTTTGAGTTGCGGTCATTGAATTGTGGGTCAGTTAAAGAAAAAACAATCCGTCAAACCGTTTCTTTCTACATTTTACCTGGGAATGTAAGAGTTTAAAGAAGTCCTTACTACATGGGAAAAGAAAATATCGCTCGGTCTGAACAGTCAGCCTGTGACGTCGACGTTCGTGTCTTCTTTATTTTTTCTTGTTGACAAAAATGTAAAGGATTTTAATTTGTGAGCACAAATAACCAGTGGTTATATTAAATTATTACTATTTTATTTTTTATAGCTAGTCAATAAAAAAGGTTTAAAATATGCTACATTCAATCTATGCATAATTACAACATTTACGTTCTCTCAATTATCTTTGCTTTTTAAATAATTAGTTTGCATTTTTCATTAAAATATGCCTTACTAGGCCTACTATTATTATACGTAAATATTTATTATACGTAGTCTACTTGCCTAAACAAGTCATATCAATGGGCTTTTTAAATACAAAACTGAACGTAGCCAACTACCTTGATACGGCGAGTTTTTCCCCAGTCCTGGGTTGATATTTTACTTCTAAGCAGTTCTAGTTTGACCTTGAATTTATTATGCTTTTGAAATTGTATGATAGATCAACTAATGTAGAGTATATTGGATTATGATTTTATGTATTCGTCTCTGTGCATTGGATTTGTTAGTGATGTGTAATGCAATGTATTGAAAATAGAGGGCAGGAAATAGATGCCCTCACCTAACAAAACTCTTTATCACGTGAACATTTGAGCACTTCCTCATTTAAACATTGTTTGTTGGAGTGAAGTTAAAATGTAACCTGTGTAGTGTTTCCTCCGAGTATTCATGTGCTTACTGAATCTAATGTCAAATATTTAAAGTCTGATTTATTTAATATTTTGTTGTCTTTCTGTTTTTGTTGTAGGCTATGTCTGTACAGTAATGGTCTGTTTGACTTTCTATAGTATAAGTAAAGTAAGGCAGTTTAGTGTCCAGAAAAACAGTTCTCACACGTATAGATATTCTAAAATTAAACAAAATGTTAGGGAAACCAAATGGCAAAGTATTTCATTGAAGGTGAATGTTTTTAAAACTATATTTTGACCAGAGACTAAATGGTTTCCTTTTTGGCTTTGCACGTGCATTGTATAGGGCTGTCGGTGCTGCACTGATGTCTTTTTTTGTGTGATGTTTTTATTCTAATTTTGTCAGAAAGGTTGTTTTTTTTTTGGTCAAGTAAACTGATAGTTGTCCTATAAACGACTGCCATTTCTTTCCAAACCTGTATACGGTTCTTTCTTCTGCAGAACACAAAATTAGATATTTTGAAAACCACTGCGGTTCAAAATAAACATTGGACCCCATTGACTTTCATTGTACAAATAAAGTATATATTTTTCCCAAAATATATCTTCTTTTGTGTTCTTAGAAGGGCATGAGGGTGAGTAAATGATGACCGAATTTTCATTTTTGTGTGAACTATCCATTTAAGAAAAAATGTCTCACATTCAATTGATTCTCTTAGTCTAGTTTAAATAACATGCAAAACAGAATTTGTATCAGACGAATGTAAATTATGTCTATAATAATCATATAATTACAACAGAGCTGCTGTAACTGAGAAATCTAATTTTTTAAATATTGTGTACATTTAATTCAGCATTAACCTATAAAAAGCATAACATTTATGCAACTTCATTTTAAGCCACGGCACATGCAAGCTGAGAAACCCCCGTCGATTTACAACATCTTGTTTACAAAAGGAAGGTCCTAGTTCTCCTAATGTACATTTATAAATTTATTGTGACCTGCAGTCTTTGCCATATTTTTGTTAAGGGATGGTGCATTACTTTGTAAGTCATTTTGCCTGAGAACAGGGCCTGTTTGGGCTGCATGCACCAATAAAACCTCTGGTTTCTCTCTGGAACAAATGGGGAAAACGGTTATCTCTTCATCCTTCTGATAAGTATAGGATAAGGGGAGAAGATAAGTTCTGTGCAAGGAGGTGAGGAGTCTTGGCCAAGGCTCCTCCCTTGTCTTAGAAGATGACAAATCAGCATTCTGAAGAGATGGTCAACCTAAGGCTGCTCTCTCCTAGAGACACTGTCCCAGGACGACTTTAAGTAGAGATAGCAAGGAAGGGATGAAGTTTTCACCAAGTCCTCTCCCTAAATCCTTGTTGGACATGGATGTAGCCAATTACTGCGAGGGCCTTGACCCGACCTATAGCACACTGGGCTTTGAGAATGCAGAGGTGCTTTATTGTGGTGGTGAGTGCCGTGCATTTTGTCTAACAACAAGTTTTTAAGTACTTTTGAAGCAGATGCTGTGTTGCAGTGTTGATGCTGACTAGTATGATCATTGGTCCAATTTTGTGTTTGCTATAGTGCTGTTACTGAACTGTTAACTGAATTAATGTCAATTCTAACTGAGGTGGGTGTTAATTTGGCTTGGTATGACTGGAGGGGACAGGCGCCATGTCATGGCTGGTTTAATAGATGTCTGAACTGTCTGGAATGATTTGTCCCAGCAGAATCATTTACCTCCTAAAGGAGATAACTGTTCGCTAACTAGTTTGAAAGTCTTTCCATTCAGTTTAAAATTCAACAGAGGGTTTCACTCAAATCCTGAGGAAAGAGTTCTGAGTCTCAGGATTAGAGACAGGGTTCTCCGTGGGTTGATAGGTTGGGAAAAAAGACAAAACGGGATATACTGTATTTAAGTGTAAGTTTAGTATATTTTGTACAACTTCAATGTTAAAGGGATAGTTCACCCAAAAATTATGTCATCACAGCCTCACGTTGTTCCAAACCTGTATAAATGTCTTTCTTCTGCTGAAGATATTTAGAAGAATATCAGTAACCAAACAGTTGATGGACTTCCATGGAAGTCAATGGGGCCCATAAACTGTTTGGTTACCCATATTCTTCAAAATATCTTATTTTGTGTTCAGCAGAAGAAAGAAATAAGAGGAGGGACATTTTGAGGCGTGAAAGGATCCCATTATCTTATTTTGTACTTTTATATATATATAAAAAAGAAGTAATAAATAATACGTAAAAGTACATATACTGAAGGGACAGTCATCCTGGGGCATCATAGGAAATGTCTTTGTCAAGGCTGCAATGTTGCCACTTCTAACTTTTAAACATAGTCCCCTTTGGTTATCCATGGTTCATATCTTTAGCTACTTTGTCATCACAATCTGATGTGGTTTATCCAGTTCAGTTCGGTTCAGTTCAGTTCATTAACCTAATCCTAGAATAAAATTGCTGTAGAGATTTCCCAGTTATCTTTACAGTTCTTTACAGTACATCTAAACACAGAGATAGAGAAAGGTCATAAAATAACTGTTATAGAAACTATTTAAAGGCAAACACACACTCTCTGATGGTGATATTTTTTTTACACTACTGAATCATCCTCAACCAGTCCAGTCCCATGGAAAGCATGCTGGGAACTGAAACTTGTCTAAAGAATAAAAATGATTAAATAGATAAACTAATGTTTTTACAAATTTAAATAGATTTCACATAGTGAAATTAAGCATTGTGTTGCATTAATAAAATGCGCGAAAAGCAAAAGTCACATTTTGAGTTGATATTTTCATGCAAAGTATACATTTAATAGGAAAGGGCATGAGGTGGATTGTTTGTCGCATTCGGCTAAATTATGTATACAGCTTCTTTCAGCTTTCTTTATCCTTTTCTTCATTATGTCCTTAAATGGTTAGTTTGGCCAAAAAATTAAATTCTTTCATTGTTTACTCACCCTCATATCGTTCCAAAACTGTATGAATCTCTTTCTTGTGTGAAACACAAAAGAATATATTTTGAAAAATATCTCAAATGTTTTTTTTTAAATCCATATTATGGAAGTCAATGGTCACCAAAAATGTTTGGCTACCAATATTCTTCTAGATATCTTCTGTTGTGTTCTGCAGAAGAAAGCAAGTCATGTAGGTTTGGACCAACATGAGGGTGAGTAAATGATGACAGCTTAATTTGTGGGTAATCTGACTCTTTAATTAAACCCATAAAGCCACGAATGCAGTGAAATAGTTTTCCAACCCATTTCTCATTGTTTAATTTTTAAGTTCTGTAGCACCTTACTCTGAAACTAAATACTTCAAACAGCCGCCAGGATGAAATTGCCTCTCTGCGACCAAACGTGCCCTTTGAATTCAAATGATGTTTTATCCTGAAATGAGAAGGAATCACTTTGGGAATAAACTAAATCAGAAGAGATTGCTTTCAACCCACATTAACATTTATCCATGAGATGTCAATCTCCATTGAGTATCTGTCTATGCGATAAAACAGAGGCTAATCCTAATTAAGTCTGTCCTACAACAGCGGGAGGCTCCAATCAGTCTCAGCTCATAAAAGGCTAAAGTCCCCTGCTGCATTTCTTTTGTTGAAATATTATGATTTTGGATGCACAAAGGAATGATTGATTTCTCATCCTTGTCTATATGAACAGAAGGGTGCCACTCTCTGTTGCATTAGAAGGTCTTTTAGGATGAGCATCCTTTGTTCACTTATGCAGAACTCTTCCTTATTCTCCTCATTAGTAGTTATGATCAAAAGACCGAGTAAAAAGACCGAGATTTGATAGACGTGTCGTGTTGTAGCTTTATGAGACTCACTAGGCTCTGTGTTTGTTAGTCTAGCTTGAATTAGCATGCTTAGCTTAGCATCCAGAAGCTTAGCAGCAGTAGATTTCTACTTTTTAGTGTTCTGGATGTACAACAGACATGATTCTCTACTTTAAAAGATCTAAAAGCCACCCAAGTGAATCATTGAGCCCTCGCTTGACTGAATGAACAGTTTTTGCAACTCAAACCAAAGTGTTCAGGTGGCAATAACAGTTTTGTGATGATCTCAATCCTGACTGTCTGTGTTGTTGTTCACAGAAAACATGCCGACAGAGCCCAGCATCAGTCAAGGAGAAAATGGCGTGAGCTCCAACTGCGCAATCTGTGGCGACAAAGCCACAGGTAAACATTATGGCGCGTCTAGCTGTGATGGCTGCAAAGGCTTCTTCCGCCGGAGCATCAGGAAGAGCCATGTCTACTCCTGCAGGTACATCACGCTCATCCAACTGAGATGTTCACACTGGAAAATTAATATTGTGTATTGAAAATCACGGTGGAAAGAAAATGTGTTCAGTGTTATTTTAGTATACTATATGTTATATTATATAGTATATAATATATACTATATATAGTATGTATTATATTACTATATATATATCATATATTTTTTAGTATTTTTACTAATTATAGTCCTTTTGCAACAATGAACAGTTGTATTTTTATGAACTCACAAAGATTAATAAATACTGTAACAAATGTTTGGATTATTTTAGTAACACTTTATTTTAAGCTGACATAGTTACATGTTGCTACATGTACTTACTATAGTAATAACAGTAAATTATGCATAATTACAAGAAACTAACCCTAAACCAAACCCTAACACTAACCATAGCACTATAGTAAGTACATGTAGTTAATTAATACTACTTAGTACTTATTTAAGTAAGTACAATGTAACTATGTCACCTTAAAATAAAGTGTTACCTTATTCTTTAGCTAATGTTAGTTAATGCATGAATGGGCACTAATTGAAACTACTGTAAAGTTTTACTATTGTAAAGCGTAAACTGTATAACCTGATTCACAACTGAGTGCCCCTTATTAGCTGGTTCTTTTTAATGAATCAGACAAAAAGACTCACGAATCAGTCCTGAACTCAGATTGAATTGATCTAATGAATTTCACCAATTCACTGAACCATAAGCTGTTGCTTCTGTCATGTCTATTTAAAAAATGAAAAGAGAATCGTTTAAGGAATGACTAAGGAACTGGAATTGTTCAGTGATATTGGAATCAGAACCACATACATTAAATTCCTTACAGTTCCCAGTTCTAATTACAAATAATTGACCAATTAACGCACCAAGACTATTTTTTATATACATCATATATACACATCAAATTTATTGCTTTAAGGTGTTTACAAAGTATGGTGTTTGCTCTTCTGAAAAAACATGTTCTACTTCTATTGGGCAGGTTTAATCGTCAATGTGTTGTTGATAAAGACAAACGGAACCAGTGCCGTTTCTGCAGACTTCACAAATGCTTTCGAGCTGGAATGAAGAAAGAAGGTAAACATTTTATATGCATGCAATTTTTCCCCACAAATGCTTCCATTTCCCACAGTCTTGAACAGAAATTTCATGGAGTAACAAGGAAGAGGGAACTCAAGTGAGTAAAATAGATGATGCCATAAAACTTGCCCTGATTACACAAGGATGTTTAGTTTATTGGATGTATAACCTTGGCTTAGACTTTTATGATGGGCGATCATGTGCTCTCCACCTCACTTTCCGTGCGTACACGTTGTTCAGGACTGTGGCCAGTTAAAGTTTTACCTCTAGCTTATGCAGGGTTTTGTACGACAGTCATGCATTATTTTTTAATTTGCTCACCATCGTTTCTCATTTCTTCTGAGAAAAAACTGCTTAAACCAGCCTAAGATGGTTTACTGGTCTTAGCTGCAGCTTAAAGGGATAATTCACCCAAAAATTAAAAATTCTGTCATCATTTACTCACCCTCAAGTTGTTCCAAACTTGTACTTTCTTTCTTCTGCTGAACACAAAATAAGATATTTTGAAGAAGGTCAGTAACCAAACAGTTGATGAGCCCCACTGAAAATAATACTATAAAGTCAATGTGGTCTATCAACTGTTTGGTTACCGACATTCTTCAAAATATCGTCTTTTGTTTTTGTTTACCTGATTGTCAAACGGGTCTTCCAGCCAAAACCCCTCTTAAACTAGCAAACTAACAAAAATGAGACTGGCCAAGAAGACCAATAGCCAACCAAGAACAATCTTAGGCTATTTTTCTCACCAGGTATCTTCTGAAGTTTGATTCAATGTCAGAAAGAGAAAAATCACACATACCTTTTGTAGGGACAGTATATTTATTTTCAGCTGCTATTTGCCAGGCGAAATCAATATAATTTAAACAAAGTATCCAAAAAACATGAAAAATAAGTATGTTTGCATAGAGAAAAGTATTTATAAAATTATTTAAAAATGTAATGCAAAATACAGTAACATGGCCAGAAGGAAATATTTATGGCTGGCACAATTTCCCAATTAATTCATCATTGTGTGGCAAAACACAACAGGTGTGGCAAAAAGGTCATTTTGGACTCTTTATACATTTAATGACATTAAAATACATTAGAAGGAATGATTAATTCTGCCAGTGAACCCCTTATTTCTTGGCTGTTCGTGTGTGTTATTTCTTGGCAGTGTGATTTTCTGCAAATAAGCTTGAGAAACACACCCGTCATCTTGGCTAATCAGTAATAACTCCTAACTGTTATTAGCTCACTAATCAGCAAAATTGTTTGTGCTTGTTTTAAGCTGTGCAGAATGAGCGGGACCGTATCAGCTCTAGGAGGAACATGCAAGACTCGCATGATCTGCCACCAATCACAGCCCTCGCTCATGCAGAAGCTCTCTCGCAGCAGGTAAACTGTCCTATCAAGGTTAATCGAAACGCTCACACGCACACACACAAAAAGAAAGAGAAAGAATATCAGTTGAAAAGGGCAGAGACACGGAAAATGAAAAACATGCATATTACGGTATCTGCGGCAGTAACATTTATTGCTTTTGAGCAATAAATCATTGCCATGATTGTCAATTAAAGCAAAGGTGTATGGTTTTAATGCATTCTGCTAGAGATAAATAGTCACCAAAGACAAAAATTAACCAGCAACAGGGCTGATTAAAGAAGGAAGAGAGGTTTCATCACAGTAACTCTGATGAAGTTCTGCTCAGTAGTTAATAATAACAAAGAGAGATAAATAACAACTGTAATTTGCATGAGCGTTAGTTTCTTTGAGCATCAGTCAGTGAGTGTCATCAACATTTCTAATTATTTGCATGAGTACCTGTGTGAATTTACCCCGAGAGAGGCAACAGCCTGTGCGCGAAAGCATTTTTAGAGGACATTGTAAATTCAGTTCGTCTCTCTTCTGTCTCTCAGCAGATCAATGCTGCCAGCCCAATGGGCCCTGCTGATGTTTCAGAGAAAAAATCAGCCACTATCAGTGACGTCTGCGAATCTATGAAGCAACAGCTGCTTGTTCTGGTAGAGTGGGCTAAATACATCCCAGCCTTCGGCGAATTGCCACTTGATGACCAGGTAATGGCCGTTGGAAAGCAACACTGGCTGTGCTAATTGGGGAGGCCCTTGGGTTAAATTGCAGGGCCGTTCACCGAAGCTCAATATTTGCTATTCACATGGTTGACTTGGTTTAGCCTCCATTTAGCATGCTGTCTGTGTTGCTCTAAATTTAGGATCCCCCCCCTATTGTTATTGAACATGCAGAATCTTCCGATGTTTACCTATGAGCTTAAGGGATACAAATGGCATTTAGTTCATGTGTATTAGCTTTGAGGTCTACTGTATGGTAGTATACTCCCAAAAGTTGACTAAATATTTTTTTTTAGCAGTTTTTAATGCATTAAAAATTAGCAGTTTTTCTCTTCTGGACCAAAATTGAAGACTCATTTAGCATTTTGTCACCTGCAAATCAAGTAGTAAGCAAGATGGCAAATGTTTGGCTGGTTAGGATTGCCCAGTTAGCCCTCTGCTGGTAGAGACCATAACTACACTATGTGTTTCTAAAAATCAAGTCCATTCAAAATGATTTATGTATATACTACCGGTATATATAATGATTAAAGACATTTATAATATTCAAAAAGATTTATATTTAAATGGATAATTCGCCCAATTCAAAAAATCACAATATTACTGTTTTTTTTTATCAAATTAATAAGTCTTTATCAAATGGAGTCTCTTTCAAAAGGAGTCTCTAGTCATACGGACCCCAAAAAAAAAAAAATATATATATATATATATATATATATATATATATATATATATTTAGTATTTCCTTATAGTATATTATATTTTCATTACATTTCATTGTGGTATAGGTTTACAGAAAACTGTTAAACCAGTCCTCTTTTTTTTTACAGGTTAGTTTATTACGCGCTCATGCTGGCGAGCACCTTCTGCTGGGTGTGGCTAAAAGGTCAATGCCATACAAAGACCTCTTGCTTCTAGGTAACTTCTAATAGAAAGTCATTTTCACCTTTCAACATAATTATAGATAGACAGTTAGACACACAGACACACACACACACGCACGCATGCACACACACACACACACACACACACACACACACACACACACACACACACACACACACACACACACACACACTAACTCGAGCGGATCTTTTGTTTATTATTTTCCTTGCAGGTAATGGCTGTGTTGTCCATCGAAACTGCCCTGAGCCGGAAATAGGTCGCGTATCTAACCGAGTCTTGGATGAACTGATATTACCCTTCCAGGACATCCAAATTGATGACAATGAATATGCAGCTCTAAAGGCCATTGTGTTCTTTGATCCAGGTATATGCAAATAAAACAGAACATTAATTTAACACTTAATATCTATCTTAAAACACAGCCATGTTACTATTTTTCTTCTAGATGCCAAAAGCTTAAGAGACCCCTCTAAGATCAAGGCGATGCGCTATCAGGTTCAAATGAGTCTGGAAGACTACATTAATGACCGGCAGTATGACTCGCGTGGGCGATTCGGGGAGCTTTTGCTGCTGCTTCCTACTCTGCAAAGCATCACCTGGCAGATGATTGAGCAGCTACAGTTTATCAAGCTTTTTGGTCTTGCCAAGATAGATAACCTGCTGCAGGAGATGCTTCTTGGGGGTGAGTATGAGGTGAAGCATTCAATTGCATGGGCTTTTGAAGCGGAAAAATGCTTCATGATCATTTTTTAAATTAGGTGAAAGCAGGTACTTTATTCTGAAACAAGTGTGCTTGATCTTTCTCTTATAATACTGCATATTACACTGCAAAATGTAAAATGATAAGGCAAAATAATGTATGTGCTGTATACCATATTAAGACATTACTTCTGGAGCAGCTTCATTTGATTATGGTAGACTAGCTAAAGGAAACATTACTTGCTCATAATTAGCATTACGGATCTGATCGAACACTTAACATCAAATAGGCTATACAATTTTGGCACATCATTTATGCTACGGACATGAATGCTATGTCAAATCATGTGGATTTGCCATAGCTATTTTCTAAACGTTATTGATCTTATTGAGAACGATTCATCCATGCATATGGCTTCAAAGTTCATTTTCTTAAAAAACATTTTCATCAAAATATCTTAATCTTTCCCGTGTAAATGACAGACTTCTCTCTGGTGATGTGACAATATTCATTATAAATGGTTTATTCATGCACATCATTATTTTTGAAAAATTCGATCCCACAATCCAATTCCAAAAGGAACAAAATTAAGTCCCGTCCTACATTTTTTCTTTTTCGAGAAGTTGTTTCACAATCTTTTGTTCACCTGTCTTTTAAATTATTAAGTCAGAGTTGGGGGTCTAAGTAGGCCTTAGGGTTCAGGAAAAATAGAAAGGATTCATTTGTTGCATTGCAGCCAGTTACGTACTTATGTATTTATGTATTGTCATTTGTTTCAAGTGGTGTTTATAGTATTGTATTGATGTGTATTGATGCGGGACAGTGAATGCTGTGGGATGCGAGACAATTTTTGGAAGAAGTTCCAACAGTAAATCATTTCACTTTATTTTGATGGTCCCTTTAACACATTCTGTTAACTATAAGCAACGTTGCACCTGCATGTCTACTAATTCTCATTAGAGTGTTAGTAGAGTATTAGTAGACTGGTAGAGTTAGGGTTAAAATAAGTTGACATACTTGCAAAGTTACTTATAGTCAGTAGAATGTCTGTTGGAGGACCATCACAATAAAGAGTTAGCAGATTTTAAGCAGACAGTCTACTAATACTCTATGAAAGTTAGTTGACATGTAGTTGCAAAGTTGCTTTTAGTCAACAGAATGTTCAAAAGGGATCATCAAAATAAAGTGTTACCACAAAGTGAAATTGAAATATGAATTGAAATAAAAAATGTCATGCTGGTGTAATATTACCAAAGACTTTAGGCATACAAAGACGGTGCACTCATGAAAGTGCAACATATAGCAGAATAAGTCCCGCCTTCAAAACAAAAGAGCCAATCGCTAATTAGTAAAGTCATTGCGTCACTGCAGCTGCTTTTAGGAGAACAGTCAGTGTTCTAAAATGCGCACTTATGACTGCACATGCGCATTGGCTGGTCCAGCCTGAAAAATGCCTTTTTTGTCATGATTTGAGCGTTTAGAAACAAAATTTATGAGACAGTTGTTGTCAGATATCATTGGTGATTTCAAATATGAAATTTAGTTGTAAGCTTGGTGAACAGCTTTGGAGAATTAGATGTTTCCCCATTAAAAAGAGACAGGAGCTGTACTTGCATGACTGAAATAGCTGCCCGAGAAGTGTTTCAAAGATGGCCGACGAGTGAAATTTCTTGCCTTAAAAGGTACTTTGATGGCCTTGTCCCAAATGGCACACTTCACGTGCACTTGCGATCGTATAGACTTACAATGGCCGCCGCGTGCGCATGTCCGTTAAGTCCACAAGACCGTAGGGTGTCATTTTAGGTTTCAGAAGGATGCTCGTAAGCGCCCCATTTGCAGTAGATATGTGACCTCGATGTGCACTTTTGCCGGGCCCGTGAGCTCCACAGCAGACTTCTTCCTGACAGTCGAAGCGGCATTATGTCACGAAAGTGTGGATAGGAGGAAGATCGTGAGGGCTTAGGGTTCCATTCGGGACAGGGCCGATATTACTTCAAATGTTCACTATGCAACTTTGGTATCTCTGTCACCATCTGTGGTTAGAAGTTGGAAGTAGCATATCTGCCACCATGATATAGCCAGACCTTCTTTTCTTTACTTATGGACGTGATGCAACAGGCACAGATGATTGTGGTAAACTTGAAATTTTTCCGTCAAATTTGAGCTGACCGCTCAAAATAGTTGAGTTTTGTAGGCCTACTTACTTTTTGAACTGTTTTTTTTATATAGTAACTCAATAATCTAATTTATTTTTGCAGGTTTAACCACAGAACAACCTCACTTATATCACAATGGTCACCCTCAGGTTCCATTAACAGGACAGACTATAGTCATTAGCTCCATAGCAGGACCTGCACACTCACAGATGGGTAAAAATGTTTCTTTTATTTATCCTTTCATAAATATAGTCAGTGTCAGTGACCAGACATCATACATTAGTGAAACAGTGTTATTTTACTTGATTTTATTTTTATATTTGAATTTAAACAATTTGCTCATGACATACCAAGCTACTTTAAGTGTGTTTTATAGCTTTTCTGTTTTTTTTCAGCATCCCCAGATACCCCTATTCCATCTCCCACTTCAGTACAGAACCAGGAGGCCTACAAGCCCCCCGACAGCCCGGCTCTCCTGCTAACGCCACAGCCCATGCCAAACAGACTCTCTCCTGAGCCTCCTCTATGAGCCTCCTCTCTAGCGCAGGCCCTGTGTGTTTGTATATGTGTAAATTGTGTGAGTTACACCCTTCCCCTCCTCCAGTGCAACATGTTTAACTGATCCAAAGAGAACTTTACAAACACATCCCAAATGTATTGTCAAAGTGGACCACCACAAATTGAAATAATTATATTTGAAAGATTTATTGCTGGCAGACCTGGTTTCTCCTTATCAGCCTACCACTGGAAAACTAGTCAATGTAGACAATATTCGTTTATTAATAACAAATTATTGTCAGTTACAAGATACTTTTTTTGTACTATTAAAAAGTCAAGATTTAATTTATTAACAAAATTATATGCAACACTCAAGAAATGTAAATTTTTGCTTTAAAATGTGCCCTTTAACAATAAATAAATACACTTTGGGCCTGAGTTGTTTTTTATTTATGGATTAATTTGTAGTTTAAAATATTTTTTTCAATACATTTTATAGGTTATATTGCATGATAAATGTAGCTCATGCTGTAAAGTGGTACTTTTGGGAAAGTATCAATATACTATACACTATATATTCTAAACATATATTCTGAAAACTTGCATTACAGGGCAGCTGTATAAATATGAAGCATTAAAAAGAAAAAGTTGGGACATGTTACTTATACGACCCAATTTGCAACTTTTGTCAGTTTTCTGAAGCAAACCCTGAGAGTAAAAAGCCACAATGAGCTATACATGTAACCAATACAATTATAACAAAACGATGAAGCTGAGACTAGAAAGCAGATGATCAACATCTCATCTGAGCCAGGTGAAACGGTGCCCTCTCTGACATATCATGAATCTCTGTCACCTCATTGCCTCAGAAAGAGAGACAGACAGAGAAAGAGCAAGAAACGAATGCTCATTCGAAAACACATCAAATCAGTCTATTTTCTGCATCTAAACAACAGCGTTTGGTGCAGGTGAAGTCCGTGTTGTCAATACCTCCGCATTCATGGGAAACCGTAATAAGTTTTGGAGTGCGCCCTGTTTGGATGGTTTTCCAGAAAGCAATCTGATATCACTAGGTGTAAGTGCACAAGGCCCGGGGGCAGATGATGCCGTCAATAGTAGCTGTCTATTATACTGCGGGAAATCTTGGAGGAAGTGGAAATGGAGACCGAGCAAGCTAAGATAAACAATGCAAACCCTCCAATCAACTCCATAATAGAGTGGCAGCTTGCGTGGGGTTAAACGGCAAGCTTGACGGGAGAAAGCTGAGCATCCAGTGATCCTTAATGAACAAGCGCACAAGGCTGAATGCACTTATTTGTATACAAAACATTATCTTGGTATTCAAGGCACACATCTCATCTGAGGCGTTCAGCTTTGTGTGACGGTGTGGTATTAAGCCTCGGTAAGCCTCCTCTGAGCAATGTGGAGTGGATGGAATAAGCATATCTGTTCTTCACCTTTGTGGTGAAGGAAACTCTCACACACTACACCTTGACATTCATGACAGCGAGGATACTCAAAGTGATTGTAATCCACATTGCCGACAAGCTGAATAGGAGGAATTTTCCTCCCTTTTCTTGTGTAGAACTATCATTTGTTTGCATAATGACACTTCCAGACTGCTTCTATTCCAGTGCTGCACTTAAACCCCTGCTTTGGCTTTTTTTTTTTTTTAGCAAAATCTTAAACTGTTTTAATCTGTTATGAGGAAAATTTTGATTTGGGGAGGGATTAATGTAGGCTATATTTTTCATTTTGGCATGATTCATTTTCATATTTTGTGTTTTTCTTTCTTCCATTTTGGTAGCCTAACTACTTTATTTTAAATATTAGAAAAAATGATTTAGGATAGTGGTTCCTACTGAAATTTCAGTTAATTGTTTAAAAAAGAAAACAAAACGGTGACTTCTTGCTGCTCAGGTGTTAGTTATGGGCGGGGCCTCTGAGGGGCATCAGACGTCTATCTGACAGCTTGGCCAAATAATCGTTAAAGCAATTCATTTTATATATATATAAAAAAAAAGGTAAACGCATAATATAAAAATTGGGAGTTGATGAAAAATTAAATATGTTTTATTCTTATTTTCTGCGCTGGCATATCCCATTAAATTTCACGCCGGAAGTGGAGGCTGAATCTGAGGCCTAACTGTTAGGCCTACTTGATTAGCATTTGATACGTTTGTGATATTAACTAAAAGATTGTCGAATAAATATTGTAATGAGAAGATGGGATTATCACAAATGATGCTTTCTTCGACTTTACTGTGGAAAGTCCGTGAAGGTGAGCTAGCCTACGTTACTTTTTTTTGTATATTTTTGCTGTGAATCCTGCACTCGCCGTAGTGTTTATTTAACGTAGCTGCTACACTTTCTTCTACGTTACTAAACATGTCTGAACTGATATAATATTTTTTTCTACTAGGGGCTTATTTCGAATTGATGAATTAAAAAGCGAATAGAGAATAGTGTTTTTTCTAAATGTAGCCTTACTTTCAATTGCTTTTTTATATTTATTCCACTAGTAACTAGTAGTGGACCTATTTAATATTTATAATATACTAGTATTTTGCAGCTACAAGTCACTATCCCAATTATTCAGTTGTTGGGGGAAAAATGAATCCTGTGGGAATCTGTGGTTCCAGTTTTACTATTATTTATTCATTGTAGTACGTATTTACATCTATTAGAATCATTCCAGTTTTCTAGAAGCAACTTTTTTGTATTTTGCTGGTAATACTTTTAATTGATTTATAAAGTAGTCATTTTGGCTAGTCATTGCATATGACAATAAAAAAAGGAATTGTACAACTTGAATACATAGTTGGCAGTGCTTAATTGATATCTACCGATTCCCATGAATTCAATGACAAAAATGGGCCACTAGGTGTCATTAGAGGCGCATTGTAAATACAGCCGCTGTAGTGATGGTCCATTGTGAGGAATTTCTAGTAGGAATCTCCACAAAGCTCACTTGATCTTTTATTTTATAACGTATGCAAACGTGGATCAGAATTGCAGCTGCCGTGAAGACTCTTAGCTTAAGTGTTCCATGCTGGGTTATTTTAAAAAGCGTCTGTTGATAGCGTGTTCTTTTTTGTGTGCAATCAGGGAATGTTTTTTGATTAACTCTTGCTCTCCATTTAAATGAATGAGAATGGTGGTCTATTAGCTGCGGTGGGCTTGAATTCAGGCTAGGCTGACATCGCACCCTTTTCAGGATCAAAGTTCAGGCAAAGGAGAGAGAAAAAACCCCACCACACACATACACTTGGTAATGTAAGTACAGTTTAAAATTAATGGTGTCTGTCAGGCTGGGGACCGGCTTGCCACTCAATGAGAGATTAAGGGTAAAGATTGCGCCCCATCATTTTTCAGCTGCACATTTTACCCATAATTCCCCTCTAGATCAACTGAATTATTTTGCTGAAAAGCATGTAGGCTATAGGCGAAGGTGTAGAAACCCTGTGGCTCCCAACATTCAAGGAACGCATTCACATCTTGAATGATTCCCAACCTTTTTCATCGTCTGCATGTCTATCCTGATTAAACCGCAGTATTGCTTTGGAAAAGGGAAGTGGTGAAGCCATTTAAAAAGGGTTAAAATGCTAGTTTCTCTCATCATAAATGTGGGCTTTAGTCTGAGAATAGCCGACTGTTCCTGGCCTCCTCTGACACCTTGCATTCTTACATTTTGTCCGTGCGGCACAGCTGAAAATGCTCGTGAAATGTATTCAATTCAAATCAAATTGATGTAGCGCAGAGTAATCTTTCTCTATTAGATGTGTCACTTTTGCCAATTGTTCCCTAATATCCTTTACTGTGACTATATAAGATTAGTGCTCTCCATGCTGCCAGAGTTTTTCGTGCCTTACTGAATTATTCACCGAGGCGTAACCTTCAGTTATCAGGTTAGAAAGACCTTGATTATAACAGGAAGTCAAGTGTAGAAAATCACTCTCTCCACCGAAGGAAGCGTTTCAGCCCTTTTGGAAATTTGAATAATTATGAAATGTCACACAAATAGTATAAGAAATTAATTACACAGGCACAATGGCATTCTCTGTACTTGCAAAGGAGCAAAGCCTAATTTATGAGTAAAGTAATTAGAGTTTATCTTTTTCTTCTTCATTTTAATGCGTGGAACTGTGGCCATTGTTATCTGGAACTTACTCCTATAATTGACACAAAAAAATAAACTCTCTCCTTGATGCTTGTCTCTTAAGTGACAACACTCAAACGCAGCCAAAGTTTTGTGAGTTATTTAATTTTTAAATAATGTGCTTACCATCGTATTCTATCATATTTAGTTGTGGAATCGTTAATCAAAAAGAAAATGATGATGACTCCCTGCTGACTAGACTGATGTGTTGCTCTCTGCGGGGCACCGAGGCAAACTGCTCCACAGGCGTCTTCTGGAAATAAGGGAAACGGATAGCCGATCTTTCCGCACACCTTGAAATTATAGCCTTCCTTGCATTTTTTTTTCTCTCTCCCTTGAATAGTCATAGTAAATGAATTTAAGTTCATTAGCTTCCACCCTGCTGGAATAATGCAACTCTCATTACATCTCTGATAGACAACATTTGACGAGGACATTTCTATTAGCATTATCCCATGCGGAATAATACACCCTTCATTATTTACTTAGTGAACAAGGAGATTCCCGGAACAAACAGAGACGTGGTCTAACTCGTAGTGTTCTGTATGTCCTTTTCAACGCCTTTATAGTGTCACTGTCATTAACTCATGTGGTTACTGCACTTAGCAGTTAGCCTATGTTTTGTTTGTTTGATTTATAGTTGACCCTTATGTCACTGACCATTAAGCACCAAGTTCTCAGAAATGCGCTCTTTTTATTCATGTTGGTTTCAAAAAGGTTTTATGTCATTTCCAAGAAAAGTTTCAGTTTAATGTCATGGTGAAACCCTCAATTACAAAGTAATGTTTTCTTTTTACCTTGAATGTACATTATGTATTGTAAAAAATACGTTTTGGTTTTAAGGTTTTGTGTGAACAAATTCTCTAATGCTCATTGCTCACCAATGCTTTATTTATTTGATTAAAATACAGTAAAAACAGTAATTTTCTGAAACATAATTATAATTTAAAATAACTTTTCTATTTGAATGTGTTTTTTTCAAATGTAATTTATTTATGTAATGGAATTTTTAGCAGCCAGTCTTCTTCAGAAATCATTCTCAAATTCTGATTTGGTGCTCAAGAAACATTTCTTGTTATTATTAGGGATGCACGATATATTAGATTTGTCAAAATCCGATATGCCGATATTTTTTAACAAATTTTGGCCAATACCGATATACATTTGTTTCCCTTTGTTTGGAAACAACACCTTCTCTCCTGTGCAAGAATTATAAATGAACTAGGCTATTTTTCATTTCAGTTAGTTTTGACCAAAAACTATTTTTTTCAT